TCGAAAATAAACTGACAACGCCATGGCTAAAAAAGAAAAGACAAACAGACAAATAATAGTACACAAAACACAACACAGAAAACTAAAGACTGAGCAACACGAACCCCACCAAAAACTGGGGGTGATCTCAGGTGCTCCGGAAGGGTGAGTAGATCCTGCTCCAATTATTATTATTTAGTTTGCATTACATATTACTTTATCAACTTATAGTTGTCCTTCTTGTGATTTCCCCTATTATCCCAATATCTAATTTCGTACCAGACCGCCTCGGTGGTGTAATCGTTAGCGTCCTGAATATGCATCTGACCTGTCACCTGACGTTAAGCAACCATCCATTATCATCATCCTCCTCAGCAGCAGCATCATCCACATCATCATCATCATCCAATTTCGCACCGATTTTTATTCATCAAACAAGTTATAATCAAAAGGGGGAACCAACTTAAACTACTATTCTTTATTTTCGTTTATCTTTATCTCTTTTAATAAGATTATGTTACTTTCTTTGTATAATTTATAATTTTCTTTTCTTTCCATTTTTTAATTTAGTTTTTTTTTCTGTAGGAATCTAGCATGATGGGAACTCTCACCAATTGGAAAACATTGTTACAGTTGATTATATATTTGAAATACTTAAGTCTGTACACGAGGGAGCTAGGGCTCATACAGGATACCATAAATTGTACAAGGACAAAAAGCCACAAAGAAACGTTGCTCCACTGACGCCCATCACATCCATATATTTTATGCACAGGGAGCAGTTAGACTTATTTGACAAGCGTGCTGACCCAGACGGGGAATACTGTTGGATCGGTCACTACATTGACCACTATACAAAAATTAATTTCTTCTGGCCTCAGATGGAAAAGTCTGCAGATGAAGTAGCACGCAGTTTAACAGTGCATGTATTTTCTGTTGTTGGTCTTCCGTCTATCCTACAGCATGACAACGGAAGAGAATTCTGCAACGCAGTAATAAGAGAAACTTTAAAACTTTGGTCCGGCGACGGAGATGTTAAGATAATAACAGGAAGACCTAGGCATCCCAGAACACAGGGTTTAGTGGAACAGGTTCATGACTGACGTTATTCATAAACTGTTGGCATCAAAACGAGCAGATAAACCTGGCTCATGATGGATTGAATTTCTGTAAGAGATAAAGTATTCACTGAACACACAGTGTTATGGTTATGGTATTTTCCTAAAAAAAATTATTCTGATCCCCAATTTGATGGAAAAAAATATTTTGATGAAGCAGATGACAAAAAAAAAATATTCTGAATCCAGATTTTCCCCATACCTTATAGTGTTAAATTTTGAAAAAAATAATTTGATTGTTAGAGTCGAAAAACTAAAAAAAACGAGACCGACTCACAGACAGAAAACGAGACTGACTCACAAGCAGAAAACGAGACCGACTCACAGACAGAAAACGAGACCGACTCACAGACAGAAGCTTAGACCGACCCACAGACAGAAGCTGAGACCGACCCACAGACAGAAGCTGAGACCGACTCACAAGCAGGAACTGTTCAACCTACCCGAAAACGACGACGAACTGAAACGTCAGAAATATCTACTGAGACATACGATGTTACAGACTACAGACCTACACAGGATGAACTCATGGCAGTTGAAGATTTTATGATACTGAATGACATTATAGCTGACCATCCTGATGACAGAAACTTTACCATGATAACGGACGACGGACAAATGACGACTCACGACAGAATACGAAAGATACTGGAGAGAAAAATATAATACAATGAGAAAATATAATAAAAAAAGTGTCGAAAACTATGCAAAGATTGAAAAGGGTAGCTTTGTTATTGTAAGAATACCAGTTGTTGATGGGGCATCAGGGGATCCTCCCCGATTATTATGTAGGGTTGATGATATTATTGGTAAAGATGCAAGTTTGTACAAACTATCATGTGAATTTGGCATATATTAAACTCTTGTTATGATATGGGTGATATAGAACTTTTGACACGCAAAATTGTAACTGCACATTGGAAAACGGAAGGAATTTTATTTCACGCTGCCGCAAACAAACAAACTTTTCTCTTACTAGCAAGAGATGCAAATGCAAAGGAACATGCATGAACAAAACATGTAAATGTAAAAAATCTGGTGTTACTTGTGGCAGCAAGTGTCACCCTGGGCGAGAGTGCCAAAATAGGATTCAGATAGACAATTGAATAAATATTTAATTTCAATTGATTGAATGTTCACTTATTCACTTTATTCATCTAATTGTATTAATATTAATTTGTAAAACTCAATTAAAGATTTTGATAAATGTTTATCTAAAATTAACCCATATGGTCCAAATACATGTATGGTCCAGCTCGTACGAGTATACGCATATGGTCCGGACCGTACGCGTACGGTCCAAATACTCATATGGTCTGGAACATATACAAAAAATAATCAAGAGTCTCCTGTCATCAGCTTCAAAGACTATATATATAAAGCAACCTGTTTTTTTTTTCTCACTTGGTTTACATTTAAAGGATTTAACAAGACGCAGGACTATTAGTTTTCAGTATAAAAAAAAAATAGTTTCGCTGTCTCAAAAAAAAAGTTTCGCTGTCACATTGATGTCTATTATTCCTATTCAAACTTACTTCTTTCTTTTATAAATCGTCTGTAGTTTTGGATAAAATTTGATAAGTTCTGTGTGCATGTGTATCGTTGTCTGGTTATCTTGGATGGGGGTCCTTCAATTCTGTATTCTTTATTTTTTTAAGTCATTTTCTCTTTCTTTTTAAATTTTGCCCATTATTTTCTATTCTTTAATATTTAGCACCCCATTGTTTTCTATTCTTTACTTTTTTGTCCTTTTTTTCTGTATTCTTTATTTTTATTACACATTTTCTGTAGTAATGGTCCATTATTCTCTATCCTGTAACCGCCATCCAGACCCTCTTGCATGTCATCCGGGTAACTATATATGGAAGTCACTAAATATAGCATGTCTTGAGGAAAACAATAACATGTTGTAAATGTATTTTGCTATCAAATATTAAATAATCATCGGTCAATGCCCAGATTGGCCGTTGATGTTAAAAATTTGTCTGTAAAAATACAGACGAGACTTTTGACAATAAAAGTATGTCTGAATGAATGACTTAGCTAAGTTCAGACTTTAATTGAAAGTTCACATGGTGAAAGAAACGGTGTCAGCGGTGTCAATAAATCAGTTAAAACACATCTTGCATTGTCCTTTTGACGTCAGTTATATTCTTTGTGTAAATTGTTTACGTGAGGAGTTACATGTCCGCAAATGAACTTGAAGGTACATTGAATTTTACCAAAACACAGTCAATACTCCTGACTTTAAACGCATGTCAAAGGCCAAACTTTAATTGTTAAAGGCATTCTGTAAATATCAAAGAACAAAAAATGTAAACAACGAAGTAAAAGAAATATATGACGTTAAAGATATATTCAATTAGTTTTTGTTTTTGTGTTTTTTCTTTGATTTTTGTTTTTTTTTTTGGGGGGGGGGGGAGGGGGAGGGGGTAATTATGTTTGTTCATTTTTGTCTTTTGTCGGTTATTTGATTCTTTTCATTTGATTCATTTAGCTAATAATTTCATATTCATTTATTTCATTAAAAACACACTTTTATACCCCAAATCCCACAAGAAAAAAAATTTAACACCAGTGATTGAACAAAAACAAAATACAAAAAAAACGGAAAATATTTAACCTACAAAGGATGCAAAAGTATAATATTTATCAAAATACTAAAGACGGACGTCCATTTTTTTCTTACATATTACAACAAAGAAGTTAACATTATCACAAATGATATACACTTTTACATTTAACCTATTATCGTGGACTAATAAAATACCCAAAAAGACTTATTTTCAAGTACTTGCAAAAACCAAGAACTTAGATCTATTTGAAAAAATATTATCACTTAATTTGCATTCGTAGTTCAACTATCATGGATAAACGTATACATTTATTTAACCTTGAATAATATCACATTTTCATTTGAATTGTAAAGATTGCATTATTAATTCATCGGTATTGTCGAAGAAAGATGAGATACACTTAAACAGTCGGAAGTGCATCTAAGTGCAGTCATTTTATGCATCAAGTTTTGCTGACCTTTCAAACATGTGTAATTCAAAAATTAAGAAAAACGTAACAAAAAAGATTAAAACAAAGCATAGTTGTGACAGAATCATGGTCTCTCGTTTTCCATTAAAAAAAGTGGAGCACACAAAAAAAATAATATACTTAATAAGATTAAAACAAAGCATAGTTGTGACAGAATCATGGTCCCTGGTTTTCCATAAAAAAAGGGGAGCACACAAAAAAAAAAAATATACTTAATAATAGACCCACTACAGGAAGCATAAAGTCCTTATGTATAAACAACTAACAATTTGTTTTTTCTTTAACGGATTGTAATACTTTAATGATTAAAATGGGGTCAGAATCCCATGACACAATACAAAACCAAACGGCGTTATCGTCATTGCATGTGTACGGTATTTATATGGGTAGTATGTAATCCATTTTAATCTGGTTTTTAATTAATTAAAATAGTACTATAAATCTATACTACAATGGGGTGTTTCTTATAAACAAGTATTGGACAGTTTCAAAACTTTCGTGACCTTCTATGTTGAGGTCGCTTCACACTATATATTCATCAGAATTTAAAAATTGATTTAATAATTTAGTAAATATCTTATAGACTTTATAGTACACTCGAACGTAGACTACTATAATTTTCATGAGTGTCTTGGATAGTGTGAAATTCCATTAGAAAATTGTTCTTAGTATTGGAAAACTGTCAAACAGCGAAAATATTAAATGGGAAAATATTAAATGTGTCTTATGCACTAAAATTTATGTCATTTGTTTGTTATTGAGAGTCTGTAAAAAATAAGTAACATTTGACAGATCGTTAAAATGGACATTGCACGGAATAACTTTTTTCAATACATATTTATTGGAATTATTATATGCATGTTTAATGTGACAAATAGTTCAAGAAGTACAAAGGAAAGCATTCTAAAAAATGTTAATCACAAGGAAACTGTTGTCAAAGAAATTGAGAATTTAAGAATAAAGTCAAATACTTTTTGTACCAAACCAAAAAGAAAAGGCGATAAAATTCATCATCTTATTCGACATACAAGAGATACAAGTTTCTATGATGAACATGGCATCCAGAGCGCGGTGTATTTTTCTGGGAAAGAAATTCTAAAGTTAAAAGCATTTTATTCTAAGATTCCGAGTAGCAGTTTTACATTAAGTTTATCGTTAAATCCAGAGGGAGGACAACATGACCCAGTCACCATACTAGGTAAGAAAGTCGTATTTGTTTTAATTCAAAGAAGGTTTAAAAGTAAAATAACAAACATTAATTTTCAAAACATATGAATTTGTAATCGGATTACTTCTTTGTTAAATACAAGTATTATTTTCAATCGGTAATAACTTCTAAATTGTGTATATTTAATTATCACACCTAATTAATATAATTAAAATATGTGTGTAAAGATATGCCAAAAAAGTTTTCAATTCTTATGAAATCGGATTTTTTTTTACAATCGTACTGAAAGGATATTTATAAAATAAACGGATATAGTCAAGTTTACTCCCAAAAATGTGTGAAATATTATATTTCCTTCTTGTATTTTACGTTTAACAGGTTCAACGTATTGATTTAAGTCTAAAGTCCGATATTTTCCACTTCTGTCTAGTTAAAAGTAATAATAATATAAACACGCAATAGTAATTTGAAGTCCAAAGTCTAAGATTAAAAGATATATATATATATATATATATATATATATCAATAATATTTGCAATCCTTAAAAAAATAAATGAATACAAGTGTCAAGGTCACAAACAGAAATATATTATTGATGATATTGCATTCCAATATTTTATAGGATTTTTATCTCATATGTTTTGTAATCTACACCTTTTCAAAACTGTATTACTGATAATAAATTTCAAACAAAATTAATCCCAAGGGGTCCGTATATGAACTGTTGAAGAGCGAAAGTAACGTTTTCCCTTATCCAACGTACGTACTCTAGCGCTTCTTTTGTTTTCTAGACAATTTCTGCCGAAGTTTTGTATTCAATCATATATTTTGAAAATCTGTAAATATAAGAACTGAAAACATATACGAAATGGAAGAAAGTGACTATCACATTATTAGACAGAAGCGCTGCTGTGCTTCCGCGCTTCATGCAGAATGTGATTGACACTAACTTTCATTTCGTATATTTTCAAAAAAATTCTTAACTACATGTAAGCTTCACAGGCGTCACGGCTTCATGTATGTACTTCGGGGTTCTCACAATTCTATATTAGATCAAATTTTAAACGTCTGGCGATATAGCTAAACATGTAAATTTAATAGATTTGGACAAATACATCTAGTATTCTTAGTAGTCTTTGCAACGTCTAAAATAAATCTTCGGATCCAAAGTGGGAGGGAGGGTGAGCGCACTCTCTTTATGTGCAAAAAATGTTTTTAGTATATTTTTCTCTCCCCCCGGCCTACACCCCTTTTGAAAATGATGGATCCGCCACTGACAACCTTACATGTACTATATAAATATATTCACGTTATAATCGATTGGTAACACTACGGGTGAGTTCTCATACAAATTTTTATCCAAACTCTTAAAAATTGCCATCACTTTCCACAGTCATCGCGTACTTAAATGCATGTCTAGACAATATATAATGTTTTATAGCGTGTTCTTTAACTCTTCGAGAATAGAATGCCAACGGGAATTACAATAATGTTTATGGATATCTGTCTTAAGCTTGAGACGTGTCCAATATTCACCAAACAACACGCTGCATCTTCAATATACAGTGCAATTAAGTGGACGAGACTTGACTGTCTTGTCGTTGTTTACTATTTTTACAATGAATCATCGTTAGACTTTCCTTTCCTTTTTTTTTACATATAACAGTATAGCTGTTTTAGATAACTATATTTTTAATTATTTCAATAACTTAGGAATTTCAATATTTATATATTGTCATTTATATATAGATCGAATCACAAAAATCATTTTGGAACAACTTCGATTACATTTGAAAAAAAAATCATTAATTGCGAATCGTGGTATTTCTATGTAACAACCTTTACAAGGCATAGCACCATAAATTATCTTAAAAACTAAAACAAGATAGATGTTTCATTAGCTTGTACTGTAATCTTTGACTACAACTGATTTGGAACTAGTGCATCATGAATTAAACTGTTGCTATATTTTCTGGCATGATTCCACTTTTTTTTTAACAGAGGACACTTCACGTTTTACTTAATTTCACATGCGATACCTCCAGATTAATTTTTAGTTCATGTCGGTCTTCTGCTTTCGGTATCCATTGGCTATCTTCGTAAACCTGTTGTCATCGTTTGTGAAATGACAATAATATTTCCATAGCATATATTAACAAAACGTACAAATTAACATGAAATATAACACTATAAAGACAAACATATTGTATCTATTCATTTTTTGGTCTTTTCAATTGTATTTCCAACATTCCAACTCTTACGTCGAAAATAAACTGACAACGGCATGGCAAAAAACGAAAAAGACACTATATGTCTATAAAACATAGAAAACGAAAAACCCAACAAAAAATCGGGGGTGAACTGCTCCGAAAGGGTAAGCAGATCTTACACCACACGTGGCATTCGTCGTTTTTGCTCGTGTAAGTACAAGCCCGGTGATAAGTCTAATTTAGTAGGTCACATTCAAGAAAAAGAGGGCGGGATTGTGGTTACGACAATTGTGACATATCCGTCGTCATTTGCGAAACAGATATTACATAAAGGTCAACCAACTCGTAATGGCGTCTGTATAATTTTTGAAGGGATGATTTCAACTTCACCACTTGGAACTCTTGGTTAGGGCTCGAGCAGCAACCCTCTATCAAGGAAATCAGATAGAAAATGAAAGCCCTGGAATATCGTATCAAATGGGAAATAAATACTCCATATACAGGCGCTGCTGGAATGTTGCTAAATAGAAATGGAAAGTTCACAGTTGGGGAGCCGTGATCATCTCTTTTGTCGCAAAGTTTTGTTCTCAAACGACCCTCATTGTCAATTTCTAGATGTAAGTCAAGATATAACGCAGACCTAACTGTATCTGTTGTATCATTTATTTCAAGTTTAATGGGATAAGTGCATTCAACATATTCACCAAACTTTGAATTGTTTTGTGAGAGGGCATCATCTTTATAGCGGAAAGTGATGTTAATGGATTATACGAGCTTGTTTTCATTCTTCTTACAAAGCTCCTGTATGAAGTCAGTCTTATATGAATAACGGAACAAGTGGACAATAGAGGAGCACAGTTGGTTTCAATTGGAATGCCGATTGTTTGTTGAAAACCATGTCCTCCAAACGTAACAAATATGTTGTCAATTTAAAAAATCAAGCATCTTGATAATGTCAGTTTCAGAGGTTTCTTTTTTTAATCAGGGTGATTTTTAACTAAGTACGATTTATTCCTCCCTAAGACAAGATACTTGTATCTATATTGGCCATTCTTTTTCATAAAACAAAGCAGGACCGAATTTTTTTTTCAATTTGACTTTTAGTTTTGAATGGGGAATACTTGTGTAAAGGGTAGAAAAGTCAAATGTTTTAATACTATTGCAAGATGAACATGTTTTAGATTGTATGTTCTCCAACAGATCTTTTATTTTTGTATTAAGATTATTTATATTTGTATTAAGATTATTTATTTTTGTATTAAGATTATTTATACTAAATATTGTGGTACCAACTATACTTATCACAGATTAAGTTTGTCTCTAAGTAGGAACTTAAGTATCCATAAAAATTACTTAAATATGTCATCTGAGAAATCACAATTTCTATTTTTTTTTACAATTGTACCATTGCCGATGCCCAAATACACAAATTACCGGCATATAGGCAAATACTCGTAACTTATATTTTCTCCTCTTTACAAACTGTCCGCCTACGCTACCGATGTCTTAATTATGTTGATAGTAAATCATGCATTGTTGCGTTCGGAACGCTTTTCTAGCTTACGCCTCACAAAAGATACGCTTAATAAAAACTTACAAAACAATCGATGAACACTGTTATCAAAGTGCGTCTATGGGTAGCCAAATGAAACTCAATACAAAACAGTTGGAACTGTGTTGTCTGATACATCTGTCTTAAACTTGACAGTCAACAGCTTACTATTCCTCATCATGGTCGTTTAAAGAGATTTTGTACCCAAATCACAAGTTTCTTGGAGTTTTTAAATATTATTGTTGCATCATTATTTATTTATTTTATTTATTTTTTTTTTAATATCTATCTTCAATCATTAATTAATATATTTGAATGAAAGAAGATATGGGGATCATGTTAAAAAGAACAAACCATCAACCCAAAAAACCGAAGAAAATCTATCATAGGTGAACACAAAAAGTTACGGTCTTCAACTGAGGTCTTCGTCAAGTTATATTTGATAAGGTTTTGACTTTCTTTGTTCATAAGCAAACCAATTTTTCGTAAAATTATTTCACACCAAGTGGGCCATTTTCACGAAGTTTTTCTTTTTTGAATTTGCTTCAAGTCATTATAGTATCACAACCAAATATTGTGTACTTTAAGTTCTAACAAATTTTTGGCTGTTTTCTAAACATGTCATCAAATTTAAACGCCAGAAGTTAACCCAAAACCGCAATTAGGAAAGATTAATTCAAATTTTGAGTATTTATCCAAAAAATGTTCAAGAAGGAAATCGTTATCCAAAATCAAATTGTGTACGAAGTGAAGCTATACATGTATATTGTCTTGCGGATACAAATTAATTCATTTTGGTTGGCGATATCCTTCGATACAACTTTTGCCAGGCGTTGTCAGTTTCTCTTCACTCATGATTTTTGAATGACCCCTTGACATCTTCCACAGTTTGATTTAAATAATTACCTCGTGTTGGCTTTACTAATTACGTATAGGTTAGTGATAATGATTTGTAAGTGCTTGATCTACATAAAGACATACTTTCTTACAGAGCTTGTAGATATATGTAATGGAAAACAAACACACAACTGGTTGAAAATTGGAATTGGTAGTAATCCCGAGATTCTCAACTCTGGACAGAAATATTTTGTAACTTTAAAGACAGAAAGGAGTAAACATGCATCTACAGTTTATGCAGATACTAACTACAAACCCGAAGAATGGACCACCATTGATGTTACTTATGACAAACATGTCCTTAAACTGTACAGAGACGGTGCACTAGTGACTGTGGACAGATATCAGCATGGATCAGTTTTCCAACAGGTTTCACAAAACTGTAAAACAATTCTGATTGGAGGGGATGAACCTTCAAAAACCTTTTACCGAGGATCATTAAAAGATCTATTTTTCTGGAATTATGCTAAAAATCATTCTGAATTAGGACGTTCAATTGCTAAAGATGACCACCTTTTTATATCTGATAGTTTTACTGATGCAAAGAAATGGCGATCGTTGTTTAAAACACCACCGCAAATTATAGAAACGGTCACATTTTCAAAATCCAGTCAAATTGCAATCAAAGCGCCACCTTGTGGCGAAACAGTGTGCGATGATCCAGTTTTATTAAAATCGTACAGAGAAAATTCAAATTTAAGGCATTTGAAAGAAATTAATTACAAAGTTTTTAATATAATGAACGATGATGGTTCCCAGCCACAAATTACGAGGAAGCAGTTACAAAAGCAACATTTAGCACTTATAGATGCATTCTCACCTCATAATATAACATTTAAACAAGACGTTAAAAATATTAAAAACACATTTCTTAGACAGGCTACAGTACTTTATACATGTGATTCAATATCTATTGGTGATAATGTTTGCGACAATGATTGTTTTCATCCCAAAACCGGATATGATGGCGGTGATTGTGATGATCTGCTTCCGGCAGTCGCAGAATGCAACCCGATATCTATTGCAGATGAACAATGTGATCCAGAATGTAACAAATTTATATGGGAATGGGATGGTGGAGATTGTTGCACACCTGGTTCGGATTTTTGTTTTAATCCTGAATCGCAGCATCGGTAAGTATTCCAGTGTTTGCTTTTTCTGTATAGTCTTGGACTCTTACGGGGCTACATTGAGGTTATTTGAATAAACGTTTGGTTGAGTGTATTACAATAACGTGGTTTTAGTGTTTCTAGTAATAAGATCTACATCGCATATTTGTATATGCCGTTGAAATTGCACTTAATTATCCCATCTACAGCAGAAATGTGATAATTGATATTAAAAAAAAAGAATTTCAAATTCATTAAAACCTTTTCATAAACACCATAGTCCATGATAACGACAACCCCTGAAATGAGATTTGTTTGATACTTATTTTATATATAGAAGAAAGCGATTCACTTCATCATTTTCATGATACTCTCTAAAATAAGTTTCACAAATTTTTCATATCATAATATTGAAATTATCTTGAATAAACTTAAGGGTTCGGCTTTAATTGATTTTGAAATTTTATAAAAATTTAGCATTTTCTTTCAAAAGAAAATTGCAGATTGGAATTGATAAGCATAATTAATTTGTTGGTTATCAACAATCATGTTTACAAACAGTCAAAGTTGGAATCAGTTGTCTTCCATCACAAAGATTATCAATATTACTAAAAATTACTATAAAAATAGATCCGGCTTTGATTTTAATCGTTGTACATGTATGTATGCAATATATACATTCTGTTGTTATTTCAGAGATGATTCGGAAAAATAGTTTGCATACAATTTCAGCTTATAATTTTAAATAGTGTTACACCACTGTCCCAGGTTAGGGGAGGGTTGAGCGCTCACAAACATGTTTGACACCGCCACATTCGTTATGTGCCTGTCCCAAGTCAGGAGCCTGTAGTTCAGTGGTTGTCGTTGGTTCATGCCTGTCATATTTGTTTTTCGTTAATTGGTTTGTTATAAATTAGGCTGTTAGTCTTCTCAATTGAATTGTTTCATATTTTTCATGTCGGGCCTTTTATAGCCGACTGTACAGTATGGGTTTTTCTCATTGTTGAAGGCCGTACGGTTGCCTATAATTGCTTACATCCACTTCATTTGAACTTTTGGTGGATAGTTGTCTCATTGGCAATCATACCTCATCTCCTTAGTTTTATATTGATATCTGCGGGTAATGATACGTACTTGACGAAACTAGGCGGTCTGTTTTTACTTTTCAAATTGACAGAAAGCTGTCAAGATAAAACGCTTTGTTTCTATTCGTTTTTTTCAAAGTATATTTTTAAATACTATTTCCCTAAGTAACAAAATTAGGTCAACATCCACTGTTTTGTAGAGGTTACCTTAGTAAAGAAGAATTTCAAGAGATGGTCGGCGAGGATAGTTCTAGCCAACTGAACATTTATCTGGCCTCGACAATAAATAGTGATATCGCGGGTCTGTCCACATACCCTTGGGACAAAGACGTGTATGGCATAAACGGTATGTTTTAAAATCCTATAAGACAAAATGTCAGTTAACTTAAATTTCGTTGACTATACTTATACGTTGATAATTGTTCCAAAGAACGTCAAAAAGTTTGGATACTATTGCTGTAAATTTTTAGATGTAAAAGTTTTAAAATGTTTAAACGAAAACTTCGTCAAATTAAAATAACATTAGTTTTCTATCGTTATTCATGATGTGCATACAACAACAAAGAGGTCTAAACATCATTCACTTGTATATCAACATAGGTGGCGTGATTGTACCCCCAGAATCGTTTGGAGCACCGGGTAAGATGAAAGGTTTAATTCATGAGATAGGACATGTCCTTGGCTTATGGCACGTGCACCATGGTATATCAGAAATGGATTGTGACGATCCCTGTGTAGAGACACATGCGTCATTGGAGCTAGGAGATCTATGTTCTGACACCGAGCCTACACCAGATAATAAACAATGTCATGATCCTGATGGTAGTAAATCAACATGTGGTCTACAAAGCTTCAGAAACACTCAATTTAATAACTACATGAGTTATGCTGGTAAGTCCGACAATCGATTAGTCAACTGCTCTTTCTTCGGAACTATGTCATGCTTCGGAACTCCTGGCATAAACCATTCCTCATACCTATCGTTTGAGATAAGCCAGTTGCAACTGATTTCTAACAGTTTGTTTTTATGTTGTATTGCTACACCACTGTCCCATGTTAGGGGAGGGTTGAACGCTCACAAACATGTTTAACTCCGCCACATTACTTATATGCTGGCCAAAGTCATACACTTCATTTGAACTTTGGTGGATAGTTGTCTCATTGGCAATCATACCACATCTCCTAATTTTGATAACTGTATGCCTAATAGAGTTTTGAACTTTGTGATATCGTGATATATCTATATAGAAATAATCGACAAAAGTGATAAAACTGGCTGCATTCCGTTATAGATTTAAAGATACGTTACTAAGTAGTTAGCTACTTTATTTTAGCGATTGTGTAAATTTTAGTATAGTCTTTAAGTTTTCCTCGTCATTCGATTGTTTTTTTTTGTTTACGCATAGCTGCAAACATTACAGTAATAATGAGGATGATGACTTAAAATAGAAATAAAGCAATGAAACTCGTTTTTCGGTTACTCACATCTTCATTTAAAAATTTCGAAATTTAGCTGCCTCGCATGGAGCTATTTGAAATACTTGAAAAGAAATTTGTCGTCGTAAAATGTTCTTTTGACAACTATCTACATTTTTTGTTCTTGTGCTAGATGATAGCTGTATAAATAGTTTCACATCTGACCAGAGTGCACGCATGCATTGTTATCTTGACCTGGTGTATAAACCATGGAGGACAGAAAAGAAACCAACGCCAGTATCATTACCACCAAAAGTAAGTCGACATTAAAGTTTCGCTCTCTGGCTTTGGTAGTCTAGTTATCGACAAGACAAAGAACAGTCAGACCATTCTATTTTACAAAAATGATATCATCTCAAGTGGGACTAGTGATACATTGTAGATCCCAGGATTTGGCAACCAAAGGAATACAATCATATTCCTAGACATTCAATTACAGATTCTCAAAATCAATGTTACACATGTTTCAATCATATCAACATCATTTTTAAGTGAATATATATAAAAAGTATCAAGATGAAAACAAACAGGGCAGCAATATTTTAGACTGGAATAATTATAGGGAATGTGGCGTGTGACGTATTATTGACCATTTGAATTTGAATACGTGGTAATTGCCATAAGACGAAATCGATTTTCTTTATCTTTAACATTTGTTTAACAAAAAAGCAAGCTTGGTTTGTTAATGAATTATAAGAATTATAAGAGGCGTCAGGTCGTGTCTGTTCTTTTTATATGTTTTGCTTAAAGTTAAATTTTAAAAGTAAGCTAGCAAGGAAGAAAAAGAAAAACTCACTCAAAATAAACTAATCGTACATACGCAAGTTTTTGAAATTAAAATATTCATGTTCAAAATTTGTATCTATCAAGCTACACATCAGTAAACAATGTGTTTATTTTACATGTACACACAATAAAGTTTAAGAACATCCTGTACAAAATGTCTTCATGAAAATCATTTTTAGATAGATTTTTAGGCAAATATGTGCAAGAAATCTTGAAGTGATTTGAGACAGGATATTTAATTTATTAAATACAAAGGATATTTTTGAAACTTTGATAATATGAGTTCAGAAGCTCAACAAGTTCTATCAATAATGAGCTCAAATTTTTGCAAACTTTTGGTGAATCACAGAGGTAAACATTTAGGCCATTTTCCAATTATCTATTCTATAAAAGCTGCGAGTTTTAGCTGTGAGGGACCGTATTTGGTCGTTACAACATCTTTTAATCAATATATTGACAAACACATTGAAGAAGCACATTTGGTTTAGAATTAGATCTATAAGTTAGATATTGTTAATATGAACTTATCTAGATTTGAATCCATGCTTTTTCCTTTGGCATAATTTGACTTTGTCGCTGGCGTAACAAATTATAAGCCTGGTATTTCTAATGAGTTTAAATAACATTTGCAATTGATACTGTGTGTTGTATTGCTCTCCAATAGATGCAATACTTCTCTTTATTTTCTAACGTTAATCGTTCAGAAAATGAAACATTATATCAACTAAATTTATTTTCTATTCGAAATTGCACTCCTTTTTTTTTAGATCGCAAGATCTACCAATGCAAGCGTTACCATCAGCTGGCTATCTCCACTTGGATCTAATCAAGCATATCCGGTAACTATATGCGACGTTTGTAAATCTGATGGAAGTGCTGCACAGTATGCTCATAATGCCACAGCATCGCATCCGGAGAGTTTTTTGTACTTATCCCAACCACTACAAGCTGCAGGTAAATCTAAACACATTTATACATTAGCCATCCCCCCAAAAAATGAAAGTGTATGACTTGTGAAATAATGTGCACCATAATCAGTCACGTGATTCCTAAGAAACTTTGGCTGCGAGTTTAAAAAGTACTTGGAATTCCTTTTCAAATTTCCGAACTGCAAATTTGAAGCTCGACATTGAAATGTTGAAAGCTATGTGTTGAATTCTTCATTTGTTTTTGTGTTTTTGTGTTATGGTTGCTATTTAATTGACGTACGTCCAAAATTCATCAAATACATTTTTATACTAAGTACTTTTCGTCAGAATGTCTACTTATAGATTTGACTCCCCATATGGTATTATAGTGCTTTCCATTCTTTCTTTATTATATTCATTCAACACTTTTTGAAATCTATTTATTAAATACTAAGAATATCATAAATATGCATTATTGAGAGCAGTGTGTTCCTACCTTGTATTAAAACAGAACATTGAAGCCAGGAAAACAGGAAAAGACAATCGATATGTAAATTTCAACTTTCCTGGCTAATTTCCTCACAATAGTGTCTTGAATTTAATTTGCAGAGACCTTAAATCCTTCAAAAAAGGAAAACAACCCGTTATAAATTTCATGCGTCCGAAGCACTTTTCTGGATTTACCTTCACCAGAAACGCTCAAAGCCGAATATTAGAATTTAGTATTTCAAATTTTTTATGTGCAAACAGTAAATGTTTAATGTTGGAAAAAAATTATATAGAGAGAGAGAACGGGTAAACGTAAACAACATCCGAAAACCGAAAAATCAATGGAGCAGAACATTGACGTTGTACAACAAAACGATAGTCCCTTCAAGTCCAACACTCTCTTTAGATATAATTTCTCATGAAATATATAAATAAAAACTGTAGTAAAACTTCATTCCCCACTTTTTTCAATTAAAACCGAAGTGTAGTTTTGGAAATCACCTGTGTGAGTTGATTTATAATTTATCAAGTTTAAATTGTAATAACTTATGATCCCGGTTTTGTCGAAATTTATAAATTAATAGGAATAAGGGGAGGGTTGAGATCTTAAAACATGGTTAACCTACAGCATTTTTGCGTCTGTCCCAAGTCTGGAACCCCTAGCCTTTGTTCGTCTTGTGCGTGTGGTTTTTTTTTCATCTGTATGTTTCGGAGTTAAGTGTGGCGTCCAATTCGCTGAACAAGTATGAAATTTCATTTAAGTTAGTTATTTCCAGACTGGCCCTTTAGCTGGATTATAGACAATTTACTTTATTGTTCAGGTTCACCAGATGCTGAATCTTGTACAGCCAGTGATAAGGCTTGGATGATGCCAGACAGTTATACATGCCAGACAATGGAGTGTTATATTGACCTAGAGTTTAAATTCAAATTTATACCTGACAAGTAAGAATATCTTAAACATTAGTTTATGTTATTCATGCAAGCAGGATTCAGAAATATATAATTCATTTTAACAAATTAAATTGCCATAAATAATAGCAACAGCTTAACCCATGCAACCCTATTCTCTAACAGGATAAAGAGAAAAACTACCTCAATGTTATTACTTACCATGCGATCGCCAATACAAATCTCAACCTTCTGACAAAGACTACACGTACTTTTTACGGTTTTGGCTGTAATGTAATACCATTTTGATTTTGATGACCTTAAAGTTGATAGTCTCTAAACGGCTTCACAAATGTTGGTCTGAAGACAGGAGAAGAATTTTCGTAATGTATCATTTGTTTTTATACTACAACTAGATTGGTATTGCTGCTGGTTGACTGTCAGACAATGCACTCAGTAGACAGTTTTTTCAGTTTATTCTGTAATTGTCCTTAAATTCAGGTCGTAGCTCCGTCGGATAATTTAACATTGAAAGAGTTCTAGTTTTTTATGTCTTTTGCGTTTATGTACCCAAACGATTCTTTGCTTTCCATTCATTTGGACACGTGCATACCTGGTATTAATTTTCCTGCAACTGAATTAGGTATGATAGGTTGATATTGCTACAAGCACGTTTACTTTGTCATATATTTCAGTGTCTTTTGTCATTTTTCTGGGTTTTTTTTTTTAAACTTTATGCAACCTTTAAATTTAGTAGAATAAAATTATTTCTAACAGCGTATGACTTTGAAATCGTGTAGCGAGTGCTATCAAGTGATATTGCACTATCAACGTCCTTGGACTGTTTTCATTTACAAAAAAAAAGTCTTTTTATACGTAGATGTACGTAATTAGAAACTCTGCATAAGATAAGATATTAACAAAACACAATAATTATGAGCATAAAAACTATGTTACAGTTTGAAGACTGTCGTTTTGCATGCATACCATTAGAGTGTTATTGGAGCTTAAACGATTCTTTTTTGTCTGTATACAGAAATCACCTTGCTATTGCACTTCCTTTCAAAATAAAATGCAATTATGTATTTTAAAATATTTTACACTCATGCGTCATTCATGATGCATATACCATTTTGGATTATCTTAGTATAAATACATAAAATTTAAAACATATAGCAAACCTATAAATAGATATTGCATCTTACCTTATCATCTCCAACTTTTTTAAAGCTGACTCAAAAACCGGAACTACAAGTCTGAATAAGAACAATGCTTTTAATGAAAGAATTTTAAAATAATTTCGTTTAGATTGAGGATATGGGTACCTTATACTGGATCCGTTGATGACTTCATGTTGACAGGAATGGGTGACCCAATCAAATTTATAGAAATCACGACAGACGATTTGACAGTGATCCCATTGAATAGTTTTCCTGCTTCGTGTGATAATGTGTTGTCTGTCAGACTGAATGTAAAAAGACCTGTAACAAAGGTTTGTACGGCTAGCATTATACTTTCAGAGATTTGAAAATGAATTAAAATCGGGTAACTTATTCGTATATTTGCAATAAAAATCCAGTTTATGTAAGAATTGCGGGGCTAGATTGACGGATTTTAAAAAAAAAACTGGATGTACTATAAAAGTCTATCATTTGTGTTATCGGTTGCTATATGCATATGTCATCACTGAGCAGTACATGAACATTTTGTTGTTGTGCTGTGGTCATTTTTTGTATTCTTGTCATTCATTTTTGGTTATGTGCTTTGTCTCTATACCATTTTGTTTTTCTTTGTTGACATATTTGTTTGTTTTTATAGTGATTAAGATTTATAACACAACGTTGACTGCTGTACCCCTATTTTTGACATTTTTACTTATTAAGTCTGTTTGTTTTGTTCACACATTGTTGTCAATATAATGGAATTTTATGCGACTGTCATACATGTTAGAGGTTTTGCTAGCTATAAAACCAGGTGTAACTCACCATTTTCCAAATGAGGAAATGCCTGTACCAAGTCAGGAATATGACAGTTGTTTTCCATTCGTTTGAAGTGTTTGAGCTTTTGATTTTGCAGTTTGATAAGGGACTTTCCGATTTGAATTTTCCTTGGAGTTCGGTATTTTTGTTGTTTTACTTTTTAAACAAAACGTGGTCATTGTATATGGCGTTATCTAAAGTACACATATGCATTTTCTTGTACAGGTAAGAATTTATGTGCAGCATCCATACACAGCTATTGATGCAGCAGAATTATCAACAAGTACACCCGCATCAGAATGTGCGTTGTGTAGACGGCAAAAGTACAGGGTAATCAGATCTCCGGAAATTACAGGAAACCAATTAATTCAAACCAGTAAAACAGAGTTCACAGACCGGTAACATCATTTTATCTCTTCAGAATTTTTTTTACTTTTATTCAAATATGCAGAAATTATAACTGAAAGTTTTTTAGACTGATATTTAAGTAAGAAGTTTTGCAGATGACTTGTTTTTAGTATCATTAGGTTGAATATATTGTTCTGTTATGCAATTTTTAATTCACAAAATGAATGAAGAATGTTGCGTATTTTTTTAATAAAATATCGTTTACATGTTCGATTCCTTCAACAACAGAATATGCACATTCAATCAATATTTCAGGGACATTCAACTAAACACTACGTATACATACAGTATAATTGTAGTCAGCGGGAATCATGAAAGTGTACCATCACCGTCTGTAGAGTTTATCATTGGTCAGTCTTTCTGTGGAGACGGTCATGTTAACACGTGAGTATTGTCGATTGGTCATTTCTTTTTTATTAGAAAATCATAAGAAAGTTTTCGAGATTGTAAAAATCAATAAATTATGAAATGTAATCGGTGTCATTCGCATGATATTCGTTTCGGGAATTTCTCTTTTCATTAAAACCAAAATCAAGTGATATCCTAAAATTGCAAATACTTTGACTTTTACTTTGTGAACTTCTGTATTTATGTTATAAAAAGAGGATGAGGGTTAAAGGTCAATAACCAGCAAACATAAAACACACGGCCTTAAACTAAAACAATGGACATCTAGACTTCAACATCCGGCCTTCAATGATCGACAAGTGCCTATTCCATTTCATTAATATTCTATTTTTTTTCATCATTTTTGATTTTGTAGGTTTTGTTGTTGTTTTTTTAATTTAGGTTAATAATGTAAAATAATTGTAGACAGTTATCTACAACACATGTAAAACCATAATTGATATGTTTATAAAAAGGTTAATACTGATTTTTATTTTTTGATAAAAGTGGTGAAAAGTGTGATGATGGTAACACAATAGATGGCGACGGGTGTGATATAGATTGCAAAGAAGAAGAATTCTTTAAATGCTCCGGTATGCCAATATTTGCAATGTTAGTAAAAAGAATAGCTTGGTTTGTTTTACTCATTGGTTAACGTCCACTTCAAACATTCCAGGTTTCCTCTCTCTTTCAATTACAAAATGATGTTCGAATCATGTATCGTTTACGTTTTGTCTTTCCACAGTGAGTCAGTCCTGCGTCATTTCTATGTATGAATTTGATATTTCGTCACTGTCCTTACACCAAGTTCACAAACAAATTTATATTTTTTATTGTAGCAGGTAATTTTTGAGTTGGTAATCCATTTTTTATCTATGTAGTTTAAAGATGAGCAACTCCAATTCTCGTATTTAAATTGATCTGAACTATACTTACGGTGCAAGCTCCATTAGACTACTCACTTTCTAAATTGCCAAAGGGCAGCTGTATTTAGTTTTCAGTTGAAATGAAACTGTATACATGTACCCTAATTGAAAATACATTAAATATGAACTAGTCATTAAAGAGTCAAATGTTTTTATTCTCTTCTTTACTAAAATTTGCCATTCTTCTTTCTAGGAGAACCTAGTCATTGTTTTATTCATGATGGGGACGGTATTTGTGAAGATTATGAGCGGCCATACAGTATAAAAGATTGTGGATATTATACTCCTCCAGGTTTTGAGGACCAGTGGGTCCAAGCAGCAGTTGCAAATCCAGAATTCCAGGATGATACCTGTCTAGAGTCGCTAATCATAGGAATTCCCTCCGTGAGCCAGGTAAGTGGGTGTGGTTTCATTCTCAGTGTTGTTGATTCGGAGAAAAGTCAGTTGCAAATGATTGATTGTTTTTTCACAGCACTCTGTGGCAGATACATCATGCAAATACAGTACGAGAATTGATTTTACATCCAATAGGTAGGTCATACAAATATGACCGACCGAAAGGAATGTCGGGAATTTCCTATGCTTCTGGAAAATGAGGGAACGTCAGCAAAATCTGTTGGCCCTTTTGCAGCATACAAGTTTACCACCGGTGTTTTGGTTGCGTAAGTGTTATTCAATCTTCTGTTTTATATGTAGTGGTTTGTGTTTGTCTTTTCATTTATCATTTTTTTGCAACGATGTTCTCTCTTTTTTTTCGACTTGTGGGTTTTGATTTCCCTCTTGGTATATTTTCTCCTTTCCGCAAGGTTTTTTTTAATGCAGAAATCTAGGTAACCTTCATATAAAGAAAAGTCCTCGGATTTAGTGTCCCTATACAGACAAGACATGGTTGAGTATCTGAACTTCACACACAGCCAAATAGACTTCACTCTTTAAATTGTTTTTTACTGTCGAATGGTAGTTAGGGATGAACATATTTGAACCCTGGCCAACACTTTGATTTGGCCTTACAGATAGTGATAGATTAGAATTCATATACGTTTTTTCAAATAACACTGATTAGATTTTTAACAGTTTATTTGACTGTTTTTATTCTGTCCTCTTTGATTAAGTTAACCAATGCAAATGTATATTTTCTAGAAATGTGTAAGCAATACTGTTCCTGATGAATACTGGAGTCCATGTAACAATTATGGAAAGGATGACAATTACTGGATAGAGGTATAAAGTATATTTTTTTGTTCATTGCACTATTGTTGAATCTTTTTGTACATTAAGCTAATAATTTACACGATGTAATTCAAAGCTTAAATGCACGTTAGACAAACAATAGTTTTTTTCTATATGTATCATTCGTGTGAAATAACTAATTAGAACGAAAAGTGTTGTGTCCGCTGCATCAAATAACAATTTATGGTACTACTGTTAATATGAAAGTCAGGGCAAAACGTAAAGTCGCAAAACATTTTATGTTTCAAAACTGTTTATTCCAGATCTATTTTGCCAAACCTAAGGTTGCAACAGAAATAATAATTCACTTTGGATCAGACGGATTAGATGATTTGAATAGAAAACAGATGATGAGGATCGAACTTATTACCAATGACAACATAACCAAGACAATAACTCCGGAACTTCATTCTATCTCCTGCAAACACAACCCAATTCATGTGCCAATCATTCATGACTTGACACAACAATTCTTCCTTACAAAAGGTGAACGATAGTATAACTTCATAGAATTTATTTTTAAGTAAATATACCTTCGGGGTAATCGAATGAATCGATGTTTGTTATAAATTACTAATACTGTCTTTAAGTTCGAAGGAATAAATTTACGGCACTATCCATACTTTGTTGATTTTTGTTTTTGTTTAAGTTCAAATGTTTTGCATCAACTTGTGAGCACCTTTAATGCCATTGATATCTTTATTTGCATGCTTTGAATAAAATAAATATTGATAACATTTATTGAATACCTTTATTTTCCATCACTCTCTCTAGGTGCGAGGATTAAGTTTTCTTCACCTAGGATCAGTATAGCAGGTGCTCGTTTGAGATCTTCTAAATTTTTAGATCCAGTGACAATTGCATCTTGTAACTCTATGGAATTATATGATACGTCTATAGGAAGATGTTTCAATAGGTCATGTAACAGACCAGTTTGTGGGACTCCACGTGTAAAGCATGGTGTTCCAATGTGTAATGGAAAAAGAGAGGGAAGCGTATGTACAGTAACATGTAATCAAGGGTAAGAAATATACTTCATATTTGTTTGATGACAAAGGAATAACTTCTATTAATTCGTATATGATTTGCATAATTAAGAATTCCTCATTATTATTGAGTATAGCGCTTCCGATAGGGATTTTTGTTGCGGGTTATTTTTATTTCAATCGACATGCTAACATGAATGACATACACAGTATTGTGGCTTGCTTTCACGTTACACAAAAAAAATAAATGAACATTTATAAAAACAAGCGACGGATATTGGGGGATTAAAAAAATATAGATGCATCTATTAGTATTTGGTATTTATAATTGTTTGCCCAGTTGCATTGGACATTTTATCTGTGTTGATCCAACTCTAAATACATGTGCGATACAAATCAAAGGAATGTAATACTACACTATGGGGTTGGGATTTTAGTTCTAATACAATTTGGTATGCACCAACAGTTTGGACTGGATGACGTCCGCCGTCAATTCAACGGAGTCATTGGTAACAACGTTTCGCAGTCGCGGTCAATGTTTATGGGATTTGATATGTTTAATTTGTAACATTTTAAGATTATTGCATTAGAATTGGAATAACAGTACTGTATTCGAAAATTTGCCACCATCAATTTTGGATTTAACGGTGGCAAATTTTCAAATACAGTACTGTTATTCCTTAATTGCATATTTCCAAAACAAATGAGCAAATAGATTAAATCAATTATAAGAATAAAACAAATATTTTAGTATGTTAACTGGATGTATTCACTCACAAACGAATAAAAGTCCATATCTGTATAAATATCAAATATTACGTCATAGCAACCTGAAATAACCTTACAACATTATTCCATCAATTAGTGTTAGTCGACATACCTTGTAAAAATATAATAGATAAGCAAAGAGTACATCCGTAGCATAATATTGATCTTCCAAAACAGCATATAATACGGCGTAATTTTATATGGAATTGTTTCCTGTAGGTATGTATTAGAAGGTCGTGTTAATGAGTTTATTTGTGTAAATGGAACATGGCAGAGTTACACTTCTTTATCTTGTGTTCCGGTTAACTGTGGCGAGCCATACATTCCGTATGCGAGTATTTCCTGTCCAGATGGATTTCAATATGGTGATAAATGCAACTTCAACTGTAAAGCACCATCCAGATTACAGGGTAAATATATATATCTAAACAGCATTTATAATCGCCCACAGCCTTACGTATTCAGACACGTTAACACAATAAGCACAAATCACTTAAATAATGATACAACATGTATCTCCCATTACTTCGTTTTACAGGGTTTTGCTTTATAGAAACTATGTACAGTATAAAACAGTTATAACATAGATATAAGAAGATGTGGTATGAGTGTCAATGAGACAACTCTACATCCAAGCCAAAATTTATAAAAGTAAACCATTATAGGTCAAAGTACGGTCTTCAACACGGAGCCTTGTTTCACACCGAACAGCAAGCTATAAAGGGCCCCAAAAAATACTAGTGTAAAACCATTCAAACGGGAAAACCAACGGTCTAATCTATATAAAAAATCGAGAAACGAGAAAAACCACTTATGAACCACATCAACAAACGACAACTACTGAACATCAGATTCCTGACTTAGGACAGGTGCAAACAATTACAGCGGGTTTAAAAATTTAAAGGTACCAAACCTTCACCCTTATCTGAAACAATAGTGTAACATCACAACATAGAAAGACACACTATAAAATATCAATTTAAATGGCTTAACTCAATCAAAAGACATATTAACACCAGTGAATATACACTGAACAAATAAATTTGATCTATGATACAATGTAAGTACAAAATAAAAAAAAACGAAGGGAATGATAATTAAAGCAACATGTTATACCGCTGTGAAATGTTAAACAATTTAAGAAAAACAATATGCTTGAACAAAAATATCAGCCATTTGCAATTACTTTAAACACAGATTAATGAAAAATAATTTTGTTGTTAGGTATACGTGTACAGTTCAAATGGAGAAAGAAAATATTTTAACAAAATAAATAATTTTGATATTCATAGTACGAAGAAGTGAAAATTTATAGTAATACCAAACACTTATCAAAGCTGTTATATAGACTAGATATAACCGTGAATAAGTAAACATTAAGTAACAAAAAACATTACAATTAGTATTAACAGGTCAAATAAACAAAAAAGTACGATTTGAGAGTACTCGCAGTTACTAACAGCTAGTTAAAAGCCAAAAACAATTAATAATTAAAAATCATGCATCAGAAACTAAAATCAACTACAACACATCCCAGGGATTTAGTATTTTAACGTCATGGACAGTCAAAGAAGACATGACTTGTACAATGCCAAAAATAAATGTATCGACAGGCAGTAGGATAGTTAGGAGTTAACCTCTTTATAGATCAAAATGAACGTGGGTGTGTCTTTATTCATCCCGTTTGAAAAGATTACAAATTTAGTTATGTTTAAATTTGCTGATTACAAAATCGATATTAGTGCCAATGTAAACTATATTCAAAGATCTAATTACAACATTGGTAAGATAACCTTTACTAATAAGTTTGTTTAAAGGTTCGATGAGTTTACACGGATCACATAGTGATTTCCGCGCTTTAAGTACAATATTACCGTAAAATTTAGGATGTGAAATACCATTTTTAATCAGTTTTCTACAGGTACAGCCAAATTTACTAATCAAATCTTTGTATCTATGAAAGAATTTAGTAAAAGTTTTACGTAATTTATGGTAACGAAATCCCTGACTTTATAATTTACCAGTGATGCATTGATTACGTTCGTTAAAATCTATGACATCACTACACACACGGGCATAACGAACGAATTGGGATATATAAACACCGTATGATGGAGCCAAAGGAACATCGCCGTCTAAAAAACATGCACATATACTGCTATTTTTTTGAGTGAGGACTTATTGACTGTATATACACTATTATTCAGATTTAAATGTTAGTTTCGCTTGTAGCTTAACTTATCCTACTCACAGGTTTACAATATATTAACGTTTCTGAACCTTTGTTATCCACCTACCCAACCTTTATAAACTGAATGTGGAAATAGTTTTAAGTGATATGATAAATCTTTACCGAACTGATATCTGTAACATTTTAAGGTGATGTATCGACAATACAATGTGATTCTGAAGGAACCTGGTCCTTACCAAATTCGTTTTGTCAGATACACTGTAAAGCACCATCAGTCACCGATAATGCCAGACTCCTGACTAAAGCATGCAAAAGAGGATATCACGGCCTTGGAAAAGTCTGCAAATTCAAATGTGAGAAAGAATTCAAAGTAGCAGGAAAGAGCAATTTTAGGTATTAGTAGCTTTTTTACTATTTACTTGTGTGATTATAAAAGTCAACATTCTGCTAACAATTGTTCATTCTTATGAATTGAACAGGATATTTATTTGTATTCATTAATAACCAAAATGGTCGCAATCACAATTTGTTACTTCAACTTCGTACTTTATTTGGCCTTTTTAACTTTTTTTTACCAAAAAACTTACTCAAGCGTTTCCATTCTCTATTCTGTTACTTATTTTTTTCATTAAAATAAGTAAAAACTATATAGCTTGACATTGATAATATCAAAAATCAACACAATAATAAGTAATCCATAAAATCGCGTTGATGTCTGCTGTAATATATGAAATGTTTGTTTTGAGCGAACTGTATTGATTTTTGAAAAAAGGAGGTTATTATTGTACTGTGTAGTTGGAAAAGCGACAAATTTCCACCAAAGCACACAGACGAGTTGTACAAAAACTTCAGATAAATGCACGATCTTCAATTATGAACAAAAACCATAGCATGCAGAAATCTTAAACGCCCCTTAGATAAAAAAATATGTAAAATAATTTAAAAAGAAAACCTACAATCCTATAAATAAAACACACATTTAGTACTTTTATCATAAGTGTGATTTTAGATTAAAACATCCGAAATATATGCATATTATTTTTATTCGCAGAAAAATATATAAACTTGAATGCGATGAGGATGGGTCGTGGAAAGGTGAAAGTTGTGTACCAATTACCTGTCCTCAGCCAGACACAGTCTTTAAAGGTTTATTTAGCTGTACTCATCTGTTCAATGTGGGCAGTACATGTACAATGATATGTCCAGTTAACTCAGTATGTATGCATAAAACTAATCTTAGGAACTTTCATTATATCAATCAGAATAAGGTGACTACAATGCATTACAGAAAATTTGAAGTTCTTCAGTTTTGTGAGACCTTTTTCATATAATAATATTGCTTGTAACAAAATTAAAGAGCATTATATAAGTATTACTTTGTTTAAATGACATTTATTTACAGAAAATAACATATGCAGAAGCCCATACCATTCTAAAAAGATCTACATTGCCCTGGTAGTAGACATTTCCCTATGAAAATTCATTTTAAAATTTAAAATAAAACAATAATGAAATATTTTCTTGCATTGAGAAAAGTAAAAAAGTAAGCATAGAACGTTTTATTCAAAAATCATTAGCGAAAGAAGGACATCAAATTTTATAAACAATATGAAAAGACCAGAGGAAAAATAAAATCAACCAACACAACATAAAATACAACACAAGAAAAATAACAGTTGTGTAAAACTTATCAAAGATGTGAGGCTAATCATTTAGTACACCGGAAGCGCGTTTCATCTTTACAGGAATTATCAGTGGTGTTCAGTGATGAGTTTATCAAGCGTACCCTTAAAAATCGGGTGTAATTTTATGTATCCGGATTGAAATGATTGAAAAAGGAGGTGGAATATATTTATGTTTGTTTGTTATTGATATGTTTACATTGCAAATATTGTAGAAACTCACAATGTATATTCCCATAGGAATTCGTGATTTTACATATATTTTTTAGGTAAAACAAGTGATTAATTGTGGAATAGACGGTACCTGGAACAGCAGTTTCAGTATTTGTAAATCGTCCATTAATGGATCTTGTCCTGTTGTTCATGAGAGTACAAAGGTCAACTTCAACTGTTATGGTAATAAAGTAGGCAAGTATTGTAAACGTTTAGACAAATAGGAAATGTAAACAGACACCAAAGATCACGTTAAGTCATAGAGAGACGACATTCAGTAATAAAAGAAAAAAGGAGAGACAGTCCACACAATAAGAAGCACATAAATAATGTATGAAGAATGTATCAACATAAACTTTATTAATTAATCAGGTATGCAATCTGATGCTCCGAAAGGATATGAACTTTATATTCAATTACAAATGTAGTGGCAGTTATTTTGTTGCAAGTTACAAATAAAAATCCTATGATTTAGGTCATTCGGTATTTTGAAACCTGAGCATAAAAAAAAATACCGAACTCCAAGGAAAACACAAAAAGGAAAGTCCCTTATCAAATGGCAAAATCAAAAACTGAAACACATCAAACGAATGGAAAAGAACTGCCATATTCCTGACTTGGTACAGGCATTTCCTTATGTAGACAATGGTGCATTAAACTTGGTTTTATAGCTAGCTAAAACTCTCACTTGTATGACAGTCTCAAAGATTTTTTTTTTGTATTTATCAAATTGTTTTGCCTATATTGTTTATGTGAGAACTGGGTATGCTCGATATAATAGTCACTTTCCTTCAGACATACACTATCACTATAAATACACCAATGTATACAATACAGTTACATATAAACTACAAATGTATTCCAACAGGTTACTTCCATTAATGATATGTTAAAGTACCGACATTGAACGTTTCGGGCTATATTAGAATCCTATTGAAAACTATCTTATTTTGCCACTGACCCATTGACTGACATTAGTATTTTTTTCCAAATTTACAAAATTTAATTTATTTCATTCATCAATATTATGATTTGAAATTGATGTCCTAGTTTTAAATATAGTTCATATTTTAGGCGATCAATGTGGAGTACACTGCTTCTTACCAGAAGCTATTGCAATAGTTAATGGTCATTCAAATAAAGTGAGAGGTAGACTTGCAAGTATTAACGACAATCTTCAAGACAAAGATCCAGTACGTACAATTACATGTTCAGTGTTACTAGAGTGGACACCAGACCCAGAAACTATAACGTGCAAAGTAGGATGTAATAAGGTATGAACTAGTTGTGTATGTATGAAAGATGTTTACAAACTAGTAATGTTAACTGTCTTAGATCGTTTTCTCGTTTGGACCGTTTTACTTTTGGTCATTTCGGGGACTTTTAAAGCTTACTATACAGTATGAGTTTTGATTATTGTTGAAGACCGTACGGTGACCTATAGTTGCTTTCATCTACGGTATGGGATCTCTGGTGGATAGCTGTCACATTGACAATCCTATCACATTTTCATGTTTTTATATTTTGGAAGATGTTTAGTTGATCATCTTGATGACCAGGCTATATATAGTTCTTTATAAGGGTTTTTGTGAAGTTAAGGAAACTAGTATAAAGACGAAAAAATTTCATTGTCCTTGTTTATAGTAATACCAAAAAGGACGGATTTGTAAATTTCTGATGTCTCCCCTTTCGTGAATGATGTAGGTGTATGTTTGGGATTCTTAGTTTGCTGTGAATTTCAAAGTCTTTAGTAAGACAATCCATAATGACTTTTGCATAAATAAATCAATATTGTTTGCGGCTTTGTCTGCTTGAACAACAAAACATTTGTTGTGAAGAGACCAAAAAGTATATAACCCGTGTGCTAATCGTAAATGTTGAATAAGGTGTCCGTATTGGTTCAACTGGCTCGCGCTTTACACATTTTTGGCATAGTCCTTAACTGCATCTACCGGTGACCACTATTTCCGGTTAATGGCATGGTGGGGAATTTGAAATCTCGAGCCTTTGAGTGCAATAGGTTTGGTGTAGAAATATGAAATGATAGGTGTAATCAGGAATTTTTGGTGGAAATTATTGCTAATACTGCTAATATTGATAGCATCTAATAGATATAGGAAGATGTGGTATGAGTGTCTTAACCCTTATAAGCGACTTCTACTTTGCTAAAAACTACGTTTTTCAATATTTCATTGAAGTAGTTGTCACTGGTTAGAACTGGCTATAATAATTGCAACCAATCTGTACTCAGCAGAATTTGTATCTATAACGGAGGTGTTCGAATATAGTTAATTCCCAAAAGTTATTGAACTGAGGATAACAAATCCTCCATTGACACAGTTTCAACTGCAGATGATGTTTGTTTTCGATACTGTGACTCTTTTTGCGCCGAACAGAAGTGTTAAATGATTCTATTTTTTTTATATTAGTACAGATGGGATAAGGCAAAATAGACCAATTTTACTACATCTGATGCTCATTTCGTCTATAAATGTTTCTTCAGTGATGCTCGAGTCTTAATATTTAAAAATCTATCCCCATATACAAACGTTATAGAACTGATAAAACGATTTTAGTCAAACTTATATTTCAAAAGTTACTGGTTTATGGTATTACATATTACTTGCAATTTTGTTGAGCGACTTTTGGAGTGTTCAACTAGATTTTTCATCCCCATATACCAAATTCTTTATCACACTTTTTTTTTAAATGTATTAATGTAATCAATTTTAATGTTCACTGTTTTTCTACATATATGGTATACGTTGAATTCAATGAAGAAGAATTTGAGGTTGCATCTTAAGCCCGTATACGGTTTTGAACATGTTGAACGTGTTTTATTTTTCTGCTTTTTTTTATATTGTAGGCCTATATAGCAGATGGGTTATGTCAAGCTGAGTACAATACCGAGGAATGCTCCTGGGACGGAGGAGACTGTTGCAAATCAACAGTATCTGACGGAATAGTTTTATCTATTCCATTTACATGTGGTAAACCCTGTAGCTGTTTGGACCCAAATGCTGCTGAAAACAGAACATACAAACACAATATAAAGGCTAGCAAGAAGAAATCTAGGAGTAGACGTATAACACTCAGTCGATATGCATGGAAACATTCGTTTCCTAGAAAAAGTCGATAGATTGTTTTTCAATGTTTTCGGTGTCATTGATAATAATGGTTTTTTATTATACTATTTTTCAAACTATGGTTCCAAAATGATAAGACAGTGAACCTCATTGATATAAATTTTTCTTAAGCGACACGGATTTATGTTCTACATGAGTAAATCGGAGTTTGCGGGAACGTTTACAGTGTTTAAATACACAAATGAGTGATTACAATTACCTTTGAAGACAGCTGAAATTGGGAAGTAAGTTTCAATTGTTGTTTGTCCTTTAGTTGGGACCATGAGGTTAGCAATTTTCTTTGATAACTGAATTTTGCTTAACATAACTTAACTTTGTTTGAAGATTTACAATGTGACTCATGACATAAGAATAAAGATATACAAAACTAATATAACAATACAGGGTTAAATAACATACAATTAATAATAAAGATATTTCTGCATGTAAAAAAACATGTAATTATGAAAACCAATGATTCAGCAAAACGAACTTAAAAAAACGGAATAGTCTGGAAAGAAAGATTTGCATGATACAATGTAAATTCCTTGCACCAATAAATGTGAGCAGTGAATAACTTCAATAATAATCATTAATAATCAATAATCACAATAACCATTTTAGATTATTTTTGAATGTATATCATATCAGTTAGAACTACTCAATGTTTTTTGTGTTCAAGTTCTTTTCTACATTAACAAAGTATCTTGCTAATCAAAATTGAAATCATATTGCCTTGTTGAATTTTAGTGAATACAATACTATATTTTACACGATGGAATTACGACTCACAAATAAAAGCTGTTTGTTAATAAAGAGATATTTAGTGTTCATTGTATTACTATGATCCCAATTTTAATAAAATCCAGTATCAGTCGTTTTAGCAAGATTTCATCTTCATTCAATATCGCGTTACGTCCTTTAGAATTATTCCCATGGGTGAACACTTTTTAAGAAATTGCCCATGGAAATATCCAAAGGGAAAAACGTCCAGATGAATGAAGACGAACAATAGAAAATAACTCTCCATTCCTGAAAAATAATGGAGAGTTTGAACAAAAGATTTACGTCACAGGTGTATTTTAATTTAGGGGCAATCGGTCATTAAAGGTTGATACACTTTGCCGTGTGGATTTTAAACTATTATAACTCTTGCATTCAGAAAATCATAAGTTACAGCAATCCATAATTATCTGAGACATTTAGTGTCTTCTTATGTATCTTATGAACTGATTTAGTTTTTGTCGAGCCTGCGACTTTTGTCGCAGAAAGCTCGACATAGGGATAGTGATCCGGCGGCGGCGGCGTTAGCTAACTTCTTAAAAGCTTTATATTATAGAAGCTAGAAGACCTGGATGCTTCATACTTTGTATATAGATGCCTTATGTTACGAAATTTCCGTCTGTCATATGTCCATTGTCCTTGACCTCATTTTCATGGATCAGTGACTACTTGAAAAAAAAGTCAACATTTTTTGTAATGTTGATTTCTTTGTTATTATGAGTAATAGGATAACTATATTTAGTATGTGCGTACCTTGCAAGGTCTTCATGCCCGTCAGACAATTTTCATTTGACCTCGACCTAATTTCATGGATCAGTGAACAAGGTTAAGTTTTCGTGGTCAAGTCCATATATCAGATACTATAAGCAGTAGGTCTACTATATTTGGTATATGGAATGATTGTAAGGTGTACATGTCCAACTGGTAGGTGTCATCTGACCTTGACCTCATTTTCATAGTTCAGTAGTCAAAGTTAAGTTTTTGAGTTTTGGTCTTTTTTTCTAATACTATATGCAATAGGTCAACTATAAATGGTGTATGGAAATATTTTATGATGTACATGCCAGTCTCACAGGTTTTATTTGACCTTGACCTCATTTTCACGGTTTTTCTCAGTGTTAAAGACCGGGGATGACCTAGAAAATTTTACACCCCTACAGCAATTAAGCCTATTTGGATATGGGCGGTGCTAAGATAAGAAACAGATTATTTTTAGTGAATTAGCTTGTCATGTAAATAGAAGCACATGTTCATAACTGCATGCTGTGATAAGAGAAAATATGAAGAAACTAGTAAAACTTACACACAGATTTTTATCATGAAAATCTAATTAATTTATATACAAGATAGAATCACAATGTTACTGTATCCAATAAGTAATATTGAATGTTTCAATGAGGCATAAAGTTAAAATAAAAATGTAAAGGTGCATCCATGAATTGATATTTAAATAAATCAAAATTTTTACTTCATAATAAACATGATGAATTAATATTAATTCCTCTCTAATTTTCTCTAATAAAATGAATTTATTTGCCTGGCCCAAATACTTTGTCTGTAATTATAAGTTGGAGGCTTATAGTTCTTTTTTCCAATGTTACTTCTTGGGGCATTTCTACGGTTTGGGTTCCAGATCGATGTAAAATCGCGATCAACATTTTCATTCCAATGACAAACTGCCAACTGACTTCTAGCTTGGTAATTGTCATCACTAAAAGCAATCCTTTTATCTTGGAACATGTTCATAGTATTGTTAAAGCTCTCAACATAACACGTATCTTTAGCTAACACATAATCCTCAGGGTGAGTGTAAATTGTAGATTTCCGTATAACACCTAAGAGAAGTTTTTCGGCAATAGGTATCGTAAGAACTATCCGCTTTGGTTCGTAATTTGTATCACGTTTACATCGTGAATCAGGATGACACTTTTGGTGGTTGTTCTTATAATGTTCCACAATATTTAGCAATACATCCTTTAATTCCTTTGGATTTTCTTCACAATTTCTAACGGCCCAACGAAAATGTGTGGCAACTGATTCCACCTTGTCCTCTAGTTGAGCAGACCAGGACTTTTCTTTTAAATATTTTGATCCCGCAGACACTCTTTTCATTGCAACTTTTACCTTTTTAATTGCATGCCATGGATCATTCTGATTTGTAATTATTCCTTTGTCTTTTACTAGCTTGTTAATACTTAAGTTTCGGTCATGTGAATGTACATTAACTTGAACATCTTGTTGTTCCAAGTACTGGTATATTCGTTGTGTACCCAATTTTTCATGTCGTTGTGATACAGAATCATCAGATTTTGTAATATGTTCACATTTAAGAACTTTGTGGATTTTTTCTCCTATGGCTACAACACTGCTGTCTTTTGCATTTTTACGCCAGCCATGTCGAGCATCTGTCATTATATTAATTCCTGTCAAGTCATCATACATTCCAATTTCTTCTAATACTGCTGACTCGATACTTTCATTGTACTGCTGTTCAATATGATGCTTGTATCTTTGAAACATGTATTGCTGTTTTTGTTTGTTGATATGTCCAATTTTAGCAGCATTAGCAAATCTGTTGTAGTGCACTGGTAACATTCCGCTACAAGTATATCCATGAAATGTCCTCAAGTTTGCAAGGTATTCACCGTTAGGTAAATAAGGAGAAGATGACCACAAAATAGAATGGTGTTTATCAGTGTCACAATTGAAACGCACTGCAGCTACATGTCCTTTTGGTGTCAACTTCTTCATACTGAAATGTCCATTGCAAATGGAAGAGTGGTTTTCTACAACTTTGACGATTTTCTTGAGTGATGTTTCAGCCGTTAGGAATAATTTTTGATCGACATCTTTTTTCTGCACCTGAATGTAGGTATTTAAATCTAATGTTGTCATATCAGACTTTGAGGACTGTCCATTATGGTCAAAAAGAAAATAGTCTAAGACCTTCTCTAAGATGTCAGCATTATTTACAGGGTGATTCAGTTGCTTCACAAGTATAGTCCGAACATTTTGTAATTTTGAAAGTATTAATTGCTTTTTACTTTCATCTCCAGGAATAGAAATTTTGAAGCAAGGAGGTCGTTTTGATTCTTTTTCCATTTTCAATAGCAAATGAATAATACTAAAAGTAACTGATGCTATATAATATTATACATCTAGAAGATTATCTACATGATCTATATGTAAACAGTTGTGTAATTTGACCCAGTCTAAGAAAATTTTGGACAAATGCAGGGTATTGTTTTATTTATTTTTTTTTATCTACAAATCCTAGTAATCATATTATGGATATAATAATTTTACAATTACAGTATACCAATGGACATTTTTTAAATATTGAATAATAGGGAGTGGGGGCAGAAAGAATTAAACAAATTTATAATAAATCCTTACTAAACCTGCATTGCCTTGCATGATAGCCTCCCTCAATTTGAGAGGGGATTCTGAAGGAGAATGTACTGGACATAACTTTCAAAGCATTACAGAAGCAATGTCTTACTAAAGTATGTTGGGTGTGTTTAAACATATTCATCATGTCATTTTTTATCTGATATGTAAAATCTTTTAGTGTAAAACATAAAATATGAGATCTCTCCTGTAGGTACCTTATTATAATATGAGGTGTGTAAAACACTGGGAATATGATATCCAAGATATTTGGTGCTAAGATTTGGAGGGAAAAAATATCGTTGTTTTATTGCTACAGTTTGATAAAAGGACAAGTCGTGTAAATTAGATATAAAATAAACACTTGACAAAATGGAGAAAATAGCACTTCTTGTCACTGAAGAACAAAAGGAAACTATTTACAGTTTATTTGGATATTACAATTGGGATGTAAATTTAGTAGATAGTGACCAAGAGATTGCAAAAGTTACAACTATGTCCACACAAACTAGTGACATTGTACATGAGGAGATAGAAGATGGAATTGAAGGAAACCAATTCCTAATAGAACAAGACCAAGAATGTGAGGAATGTCCCTTTTGTTTTTGCAAACCTTGCATTACTAATGAAAAAAACAGACAAATGTGGTGGGAAAGTGAACCTCAAGGGAGACATCAAAGAAATCATAGTTTGCGAAAAGAGAAGTACAAATATTTCTGGACAATGATGTTTCACCGTGAAGCTTGGAAGGATGACAGATATTTAATACGAAAACAAGCTGCTCTTGAAAGAGACCCTAAATTTAAAAATTACACATGGCATAAAAGAGATATTATGCCTAATTGTGTCCTAAAACTAGTAAGAGGGTGGCATCCAAATCCTGAAAATATTACTTATATGGGCCACCTCTGGGAATAGTTACATAAATTTATCATAAGTGACATTTGTTTGGGATATAACATATTTTTAAAACATAAGTTGGCACTATACAGTTTAAAAGACTATCTATATTCTGAAGCTTTGAAAGGATTATATAATTGATTGATTCCGTGCAATATGTAAGTACATTCTCAATTCATAAATGCATGCTTTAGATTATAGATAATAAAGCCACATGTAGCATGCTACTTCCGTTGTAAACATAAACAGAAAGTTGTTGTCATGGATATCTCCTCCTACTTGTCAATCACAGGAATTTGAATTTGAAAAATAGCTGTGCTTCAGGATTTTAATTTAAAATATCTTTATTGTGAGTTATATGATTTTCTCATTTTTTTGCCTAAACTGACCATTATCTATGTTCTGACAACTGTACAAATTTAAAAGTAAAGAAGATAGCAATTTTAGAATTAATTTTGAAAAATGCTTCTCACTTCTTAACCCTGCCCAATATTTGAATAAAATCATATTTTCACGAATTGTCTCCCTTTTATACCCTAGCCCCGGTCTTTAAGGTTTTGTGTTTTGGTCTGTTTTTTC